GATGGGGTGAATGAGCAGAAAAAAGAGGTGTGTGAGAGATAATGAACGCAATAATATAATTAATGAGGGAAAACACTACAAAAATGATTAAAATTTCAAACATCTTTATGCCGCGTTTGGATGGAAAAAAAAATAGGAGGAGAGAAAGTTAAGGGAAGGAAAAATATTACCACCTCCCTTGTTTAGATGGAGGAGAGGAAAAGAAAAAGAATAAATATGTTAATGACTAAAATACTCTGATCTCTCTAGCAAAATATATGATGTCCAAAATCACTCCCAAAATCTATATCTTCTAATTAATGTTTTTGTGATTAAAATATCACAGTTTTAACGATTTAAAAATCTTAAGCAACAATGTATATATTTTTGCAGTTTAAAAAAATTAACAATGTGTGCGTTATATGCATGAATGATAAAATTAACACGTGAAGAACCAAGATTCGAATCCCTGTTGGAAGAAGTACCCACATTTAATGCCTGACAGTACCTCAAATAAGATTACCTCCAATAGAAAGATATCTATATGCTTTAGGGGAAAAAAGAAATAAAATAGTTATAAGGAGGAGGGTGACAACTGCCACCGGGCCCACCGCACCGATCCTCTCATTGAATATTTTACTCATTTCTCATTATGCTTCCTCAATTGTGTTGTAAATTGATTTTATGTTCTAAAATGCCCTTAGTGCTACGCTATTTACTCAGTGCTACGCTATTTACTCATTTAATGAAATTGCCAATTCGACAGCTGGAAGGCGTACGGTGGAAGTTTTTAAATTTGTCCCATGTTTAATGAATAAACGTGTTTTTAGCCAACACATGCTACTGTCTCCTCTTACGCATCACCTCGTATTTGGAATTTACAAGTTTGTTTGAATTGTTATCCGCACATATTAAACATGAGTAAAATTATAAAGTCATTAAAAACTGAGATTTTAATTTTTAAAATTTGATCCTATTTTAATTTTGATCTTTTAAATTTGACTTTATTTTGATTTTGGTTCTTAAAATTCAAAACCAATAATTTTAGTTCATGAAATTTAACTTCATTTTAATCAGCCTAAATAATTTAGGTCTCTAAAATAAGAATCAAATTTTATGAACCAAAACCATTGATTTTAAGACTCGGGAATCAAAATCAAAATGAGATCAAATCTTATGAACTAAAACTACTAGTTTCAAATTTTAGGAAATAAAGTCAAAATGAAGTCGAATTTCAAGAATTAAAGATGATATTCACTCTAAATTTTAATAGAGTTAATGACATTTAATATTTTTCTTAATTGCAATAAAACAGTTAGGAGTGACTATATGATTTTTCAAGAAAATGAAAAATCTCTTTTTGGTGGAATTTTTTAAGGGTGTTGTTGGAAACATGTTTGTGGAAAAAAATTTAATTGTATGATATAAATAGCCTAATAACAACATAATCTAATATTCTAATTAGAGAAACGGTTAGTTGTGCGGCTGGATATAAAATAAAAAGATATAACATTGAATTTCTTGATATATTTATTTAAGCTGTTTAAATTCGAATAAATAACTCATTTTTTCTTATTTAATGAAATTATTTTACATTTCAGTCTTATAACTAAAATATTTGAAGATTTAATATTTAAAAATGTATTATTATCTTTATAAGAAAAATATTTATTATTTATTTTACATTTTAGATTTAAAATGAAATGATATAACTTCTATAATTCCGAAAATCATGTCATTTTGGCAAAATGAAATTTTTGCAAAATTTTTGGAAGATGCTATTGGGAAGGTGTTCATGGAGAAAAATTTAATTATATGATATAAATGGCCTAATAACAATATAATCTAATATTTCTAATTTAACTTTTAATACTTTAATAGAAGAGCCCGTTAGTTGAGTAACTGGACACGTGTCGATAGAAAAGTTGCTGCATATTCTACTTTTATGAGAACATATTCATAAAGGAAAGCCTAATTATATGATATAAATAGCCTGATAACAAAATAAACTAGTATTTCTAATTTTTATTATTTTAACGGAACACATTGTTAGTTATATGGCTGGACACGTGTTGACAAAATGGCTGCTAACTACTCTATATATATATATATATATTATATATATATCTATATTGATGGTTGATGATAAATGTAGCCCAGGTCACTTTTCCTCCATTTATAGGATCTGAAGAATTCTCCCCCGCGCCCCGATATAATAGAAAGCGATAAAGGCTCCTTTGGCCCATAATACACGGTGACATGTCTATATCTCTGATCTGACAGCTATAACTATTCAAAACAATTCTCGCGGTTTGGCATCCAAATGAATGCCCATTCAAGGAAATCTCAGGGAATTAATCTAATCAACTAAGTTTGTCAAACAGTTATACCAATTCTAAGTCATGTTCGATCCATACAAAATCATGCTTTCTTCACCATAATCCAAATGACTAATTTTTTTTTCCATTGAGGGGATGCAAGTCCTTGCTTCCGAGTTGCATATTAATAATACAAGAAAAATTTAGTTAAAAGTTGTTGTTTAAAAATTTAATTAGCTAAAAAGAACATAAATTTGAGTAAGTGCAACATATCATCAATAATGTGTAACAATCATCAATACGAAAATCATTTATATACAACAAAAGATATGTTATACTCATGGATCATATTTACACGTATTCAAATTTAGGCCATTTTAGCTAATTAAATTTTCTAACATGGATCTTTCACCAAATTTCCCATAATATAATTGCTATTCCCATCCATTGCATATATATTTTCGATAGGAGATCATGATTATGACATCCGTGTGGATCTTATTTTCAGACATATTCATCGTAAAGAATAAACACAACACGATGGTCTGAGTAAAGCCAACCAAGACCTGAAAACTAAGTCACAACCAAACAAACAGTGGGGCAATATAGTCAATGGCCGGTGATCCCCAAGAATAAAATTATTATGTATAAAATGAATCTCTTTAAACAATTAAAAAATGAGAATCAGACACTTATATATCAATCCTCTATTCTGGGTGTGATTAGAATTTATGACCCATAGGGACAACTCTGATCTATTATAAATCTGACATCTCATGTATTATTCAAACAAATCTGGGACAAAGCGCGGTTTTAGCAGAAAATATTTAACAAAACCATAGTATAGAGCAAAACCAAATGTAGCCGCAGATAATCAGAACCTAAACTCTGTTGGGTACGTAGTAAATTCTCAGAAATTGTAGGCATGAGGGATATATAGTTCAAACATCTGCTTCAATAAGCTCAGTTCCAAGCATTGAGTGCACAGACAATTTATGTGCCATCCTGTAATGGTTGGCTATATTAGTTGAGTTGACTCATAGTATCTGTTGCATGTTACGCACTAGACTGAGAAAGAGAGAGAAAAGAGAGGGGTAATGATATATGCATACATGGTCTCAATCTCAATGGAGACGAAAAGAATAAACAAAAGGAGAATAAACCAAGGGCTATAATTACCCGTAATTTTTTTGTAGATAATTTTAATGAAAGGGTCCCACGTGGATCCTGGGCGAAGAATTTGCAGAAAGCCGAGAAAGAAACAACAGAAAAGGATATCTATATTTGGCCAAAAACTCAGTTTTAGGTGGTATATTTGGTAAAGCAATGAGCCAGTTTTATCATAAAGCTAGAAATATAGCTCTAATATTTATTGATGATGTTAAGAATCGTTTGCTCAAGATAATTGATACCTGTGTTTAATTATATTTGTTTAATCAACGTTCACAACCTCTTTGGACTAGAAGTAAGTGATGGAATAATACATTTTTCATCAATAAAAGTTCTTGGCATTGGTTCATATGGCTGGAATGAACCAACATTAGATTTTGAAATATCAGTTAATAAAATGTATCCTATGGCAGTAAACATAGTACCTCGCATTGAATTTGTTTGCTACTTTTGCATCACTGATTAGTATTGTTAATTTCATATATGATAATAATTATAGTTAATGGCTGGATACAGGGTAAACTGTGAAGTAGCTTGAAGGAACCACTTGAACTACGTATGTAGGCAAGACAGTATTTTGATCACAGATTGTATATGATATACATACAACAGTAAACATAGCAGGAGGTTCTTGTGGGTGGTAGTGATTCATGGTTCATAAATATTGATGAAGTTAAGTTCATTATCTTCTGAACGATTGGAACAGAGAGGCACCGACGAAATAGATGAATGTGAATAGCCTTTAGAAGGCTTCTTCATGCTCTGCTCTATTTCCTGTGTTAAAAAAAAAAAAAAAGGATTGAAGACGATGATCGAAGACAACAAAGTTCGTCTCATTAGGTGACCTTAGCTATGTAAACGCTTTATACATAGAGATTGGGGAAGCTAGATAACTAACTTGAGGATATTAAAAAAATTAGTTAAGTTAGTTATTTGTAACAAATATGTGTCAACTTTCTTAAATTATCCATATTCAATAATATACATTGGAATTACCCATGAGTGGAAATACCTTATCATCAATAAGGATATTTTGATAACACATTATAAATTTGGAAGATAAAGTGAATTGAAATATTATATTTAGTACCTTAAATTACATTTACTTTTCTGGTAAAAAATGTTAAATTTACTTTTGCCTGTGGTGCTAGTTTGCTGCATATATCGCTACTACCTTAATGTACATTTCGGACTATAATTCTTCTCAAGGGAATATATATATATGAAAAGTGTCCATTGATATGAACTATATAGATTTATCCCTTTTTCCATTTAGATAATTTTGATATCATATATTTTGATAATTATATTGGTAACACCTTTTCTTTTTGGACCTAAAAGAGATTGTTTGTTCCTTATCCTTGAACGTACTCTTGAAAAAAAGCACTGGGTTTGGTAATTTCATAACTCATAAGTTGAATTCAGTTCCATGAATGTAAATATACTACTTATTGTAAAGAAACACTTCCCTTTACATTATTATTTTGAGGAATACAAAAATTGTATGAGAAAAGATATGAAACCAAAAGGGGCTAACAAGAACAAAACAATCAAAAGCAGTAATCCAAGATGCAACAACAGCAGAAAACAGCACAACTTCAATGAAAAAAAGAAAAGGAGACAAAACAAAGTTAATATCAGGTAAGGGAAAAGAAATGAAGATTCATTAAAAAAAAAATTTAAAAACAGAGATATTTTGGGAACTCACCATCCCTCCCAAAAACCATCACCCCTACTCATGGTCTGTTGCGGAACACTCTGTTTTGGGTCCCAAGAAAGATTATCCTTGGAAGGATACCCCATTGGCGGGAGTGCACTCCCAGTCGGCAGCAACGGATATGCCATCATCGGTGAAGGATATGACCCTGCAAACTCATCATATAACATATATAATCTAATTAATTAATAATGTTAATCCCGTTCACAAACACAATATAATGATATAGCACCGTGGTAGCTTGTTGTGAAAGAGAAAACTTACCCGGAGGATCTTGCTGATTGTAATGATGATTCATGGTTGCTAAATAATATTGAAGTGCGATGATCTTATGAACTATATGAAGATACTATATAGGCATAGGTGGGCAGCTATGAACAGTGCGAAAGCGCGGGGGAAAGGCAGAATTGGGGAAGGGATCGACCTTTACAGGTCAAAGGCTGCTTGATGCTCTGAATTTCCCTCTCAAAGTTGACAATATTATCAATTGTGCCTTTACCGTTTGAAATGAGAACCAAAGATGCAGACAAGAGAGGAATCATTCTGTGAGTAGCTTTATTGGCCGGGGTCCATCAAACGCAACTTCAACCCACTTTGGTGATTTAGGCGTTATAAATAAATCCGAAAAGCACTGTTCTTAAATAAATATTGATGATAGGAACAGAGAGGAGATTGCTAAGTTACACTCGCACAAATCCATATGGGCTGGAGGTGGCGGCTAAGGTAGCTTAATGGAAGGTTCAAATGATATTGTGAAAGCACGTGAAGAAATATGAATGTGAATAGCCTTTATAAGGCTGCTTCTTGCTCTGTTTCCCCGTATTTATTTGCCCAGAGGACACAAAAAAGATAAGGAGGCAGACCATGAGAAGAAGGGAAAAAAACATTAATGATGATGACCGAAGACAACTCAGTTACTCCCTCCATTTATAAAAAGAACAAATTATTTCGTCCCATTAGGTGGGATCAGTTATAAGATCAAGGAAGTAGTAACAGAGTATTTGGGGGAATTACTTGGACGTGAGAAAGCAGTAGAGTTTAGGCATTTATGAAGCGGCCAAACTTGACCAATTGATTTTGCTACCTGCAATTCACAAGACACGAAACGCTATTTCATTACAACATTTTTAACAAAGATTAACTTATATACGCCAATTTTCTTCATATATTTTAGATGCTAAAAGATTGTGAATCTAGATTACATTTACTTTGCTACTAAAAAATAGAGTTAAGGTGCAATTTTTACTCTAATCTTATTTTTAACGCGTAATTTTCCCCCTGATCTTTCAATAGTGTAATTTTGGCCTTAATCTTATTTTTGAAGTGTAATTTTGCTCTTTATCTTTTATTTTTGGGGTGCAATTTTGTTTCAAATATTGAAAGTGCATAAAAAAAAGATCAGAGTCAAAATTGCATTACTAAAAAAATGAGAGGAAAAATTGCACATGAAAGATAAGATTAGAGTCAAAATTGCACCTTAACTCTAAAAAATATATTACATTTACTTATGCCTGTGGTACTAGTTTGCTGCATATATTGCTACCAACTTAATGTACAGTTTGAACTTGAATTCTTAAGGGACATATGTAGATATATGGAAGGTGACCATTGATATGAACTATCTAGGTTGAACCCTTTTCTCATTTAGAGAACTTTGATATTATATATTTTTATAATTAAATTGTTAACCATTTTTTTCTTTGGACCTGAAAGAGATTGTCTGATCCTCATCCTTGAACTCTTGGAAAACTGCGCAAAACTGAGTTTGATAATTTCATAACTTAAATATAGTTCCAAGAATGTGAATATAATATTCTTCTAGTTCTTACTGTATGACCTAATTTAAGAGTTTATGTTAGTCTTATATGTAAGACCTATTTTAAATATTTATTAATTTCTTTTCAAATTAACATTATTGATATTCCTCCACTAATAGGGAATTAAGAAAAATGTTTAGTGTCTTTTAGAAAAAAAATCACATTAACTAATTTAACTAACATTTTTAATATACTCAAATTAGTTATGACCAGAGGAGTACTTATTACAAGGAACACATACCCTTACAATATTATTCCTAGAAGTACAAAATTGTACGAGAAAAAATATTAAACCAAAAGGGACTGACAAGAACAAATAATTGAGAAAGCAATCAAAAGCAGCAATCCAAAACACAGCAGTAGCAAAGAGCAGCACAACTGCAACGAAAAAAAGAAAAAGAGAAAGAACAAAGTTAATATTGGGTACTAAATTTAAATAGAAATGAAGAAACCAATAAAAACTCAAAAAAAAAAAACAGAGATATTTTTCCAACTCACCATCCTTCCCAGAAGCCATCACCCCTTCTCGTGGTCTTCTGTCGAACACTCTATTTTGGGTCCCAAGAAACATCATCCTTTGAAGGATACCCCATTGGTGGAGGAGCACTCACAGGCGGCAGAGGCGGACATGCCATCACCGATGAAGGATGTGACCCTGCAAATTCATCATATAACATATCTAATCTCATTAATTAATAATGTTAATCCCATTTACAAACACAATAGAATGATATAGTAGATTAGTAGCATTTTGTGGAAGAGAAAACTTACCTGGAGGATCTTGTTGGTTGTAATGATGATTCATGGTTGCTGAATGCGATGCTCTTCTGGGCTATATGAAGATGCAGCTAGACCCGAAAATGAGATGAGATTGAGATGCTATATAATACAATGCATGTGTGTGCGCGCGCGCGCACATCGGTATAGGTGGGTGAATGGTGGGCGGCCATGAACTGTGTGAAAGCGCGTGGGAGAAGGCAGATTCGGGGAAGGGGCTGACCTTTCCATGTCCAAGGTTGCTTAATGCTCTGTGTTTCCCTCTAAAAGTTGACAATATTATCTACTTTGCTTTACCATTTGAAATGAGAGACAAATATATAAACAACAAAGGGATCAACCACCATAGTCCCATAGAAAGTCTTTTCGGATTATTTCTTCCTTTGTCCAAAAAAGGTTGCAGAGTTCAGAAGCTTCATATTCATCTTGGACCATTCATCGTATGGTCAACAACTATAAATGCTTCATTACAAGTCTAATAATTAAAATCGACTTCAACGTAGAGAAAGATAAAGAAATGGTTCAAACATATCAAGTTATTAATTTCCTTTCAGATCATGGGGAGACTTCAATTTGGCAATCTTTTGGTTATTATGATTCTAGAGAGTTGATCACCATAGTTAATTTTTAGGAGAAGAGGAAATATTTTAATGGGGGCACCCTGTTCACAGGCCTTTGTATTCAATAAATAGGTAGGGTCATAAACCCTAGAATATACAAGTGAATGCCACGTATGTACTGTATAATAGCTACAGAAGACTCTAGAATATTAAATCACATATTGCTATTTACAATTGGGCCTATTGCTAATGGGCTTGGACTGAGGACAATATACTACTTTAACATTCCCCCTCAAACTGGGCCCAGGGGAGATTATTAGGCCCAGTTTGTCTCTGAACATGAGGAACTTCGACGGAGAGAGTGCCTTGGTAAATAGATCGGCCAACTGATCAGAGGAAGGAATATACTGAACACGCAATTTTCGATCAAGTACTCGATCTCTCAGATAGTGTATATCAAGCTCGATGTGCTTTGTGCGAGCGTGATAGACAGGATTTGAAGCAAGAGCTAAGGCACTTAAATTATCACACCAGGCGATCGGAGGATTCTTCAATCGAACGCCGAACTCACCTACGAGAGATTGAATCCATGCCAGTTCAGTTGCAAGATTTGCAAGGGCTCTGTACTCAGATTCAGCACTTGACCGAGCTACGACTTGCTGCTTCTTAGCTGACCAAGAGATGAGAGAGTCACCGAGGAATACACAGTACCCGCTTATTGATCTACGATCATCCGGGCATACAGCCCAATCAGCGTCGGTGAAACCTTGCAAGGTAAGATGATTACTGGGTTTTACATGCAAAGCCAGATTGGTAGTTCCCTTGAGGTATCGCAGTATTCTCTTGAGCGCCTGCCAATGTATATCAGTGGGTTGAGATAAAAATTGACTCAATTTGTTTACTGCAAAAGTGATATCCGGCCGAGTATTGATCAAATACTGTAGTGCTCCAATAGCTTGTCTATATAGTGTAGGATTCTTCAATGGAGTCCCATCTGATTTTGAGTAATGCTTATTTACCACCATAGGAGTCGGAACAGGGGAGCAATTTGCCATACCGAATTTCTCTAGGATATTCATTATATATTTTTCTTGTTTTAAGTATAGCCCAGTAGCATCTCTGTAAGTCTCTACTCCAAGAAAATGATGTAGTTGTCCCAAATCCTTTAAGGCAAAGCGTGAGTTGAGCTGCTTGATGAATAATTCCAGGATTTGATTTGAATTTCCAGTCACAACAATGTCATCAACGTATATCAGTACAAAAATGACAAACCTTTTCTCTTTGATAAAGAATAAAGAGGTATCACTCTTTGAATGATTAAAACCCCAGGAGAGCAGAGTAGATTTTAGCTTATCAAACCAGGCTCTAGGTGCTTGCTTCAGTCCGTACAGAGCTTTGTTTAGAAGGCACACATGATTAGGAAATTTTACTGACACAAACCCTTCAGGTTGCTTCATGAGAACTTTTTCTTGCAAGTCTCCATTTAAAAAAGCATTATTGATGTCTAGCTGCCTTATTTGCCAACCGAAAGTCACAGCCAGAGTAAGGACAAACCGTAGTGTTGCTGTCTTTAGAACAGGACTGAAAGTTTCATCAAAGTCTATGCCTGGACATTGTTGAAATCCCTTTGCTACGAGTCTGGCCTTAGGTTTGAAAACTGAGCCATCTGTATTTGTTTTCAGTCTAAAAACCCATTTGCAATCCACTAGCTTTCTGTGTCCTTGATAAGGCACTAATTTCCATGTGTTATTTCTGATTAAGGCATTGTACTCATCTAGCATTGCTTTTCTCCAATCTTCTGATTTTAGTGCTTTTGCAACACATGTAGGTTCTTTGAGAATAATTGGATCTGTACTGACAACACCAACATAGGGCTCCTTGGGTTTGTAAATACCCATTCTGCTTCTGGTTACCATCGGATGTCGCACTGGAACTAGAGCTGTATCATTTGAAGAAGGAGAGGTGGATGGTGAGGAGAAGTCGGATGATGAACTTCCTTCTACTGCTGTATGTCTGATTGGTGATAGTTGATGGTTGTTTGAGTCTGACATGGATGGGTTTGAAGACTGAGTTGGAAGCTGGCTCTGGCGTCTGGAATCCTCAGCAACAAATTGTGGTTGAGTAGAAGTTGATAGTGATGGCAGTGTTGAATTT